GAACACATTTGTCGCGCCGTGATATTTAAGAAAGGTCTTGGTCCTCTTGCAGTTAATAAATTAGAAAAGAAAGGTTAAATCAAGAAAGATGAAACATTTCCAGAAGTAAACCTGTCACTGATCTGTGCTGCTCTGGGCAGCTTTCAGCAGAAGCCATATAAAACCACCACCTTTTTTTCTTTTTTTTTTTTTCTTGCTGTCTTTTTGTGCTTTCTTCTCTTCTTAGCCTGTTCCACCACAGGCGTGTGTGCTATCCCGTCGTCTTTGAGCTACCTGTTTCTGGAGCGCCTTATGACCTCGAATACCAAATCTTTCGGTTTATTTTCTTCGGCTTTATCATCCCTGTGTCATCTGTGTATGGTTGGGAAGCAGGGAACGTGGGTTTGAGCTTCCTCGGGCTCAACAGAGAATTGCTTCTACGTCACTCGCTTCACGGTAAGTGCTTTTATACAAAAGACTGGCAAAGCAGCGGCATTTCTTCCTGCGGAAAACTTAGAAAGTAGCCGAGTGCTTTGTGCTGAAGGGCATATATGTGAGTGCATTTACTTTAAAACACGTTCAAAACTGGTGAGTGAGGGGGAGCCCTCAAACTGGAGTAGTTTGCGTGTCGGGCTCGGGTGTGCAATCTGTCACCTGAAACCTCTGCTTGGTGAAGAAGGTGGATTTTGTGCGTGTGACGGATTTTATAGCCGCTCCTGGGTGCAGCTATTTTTGGGTGTCGTCTCCCTCAGGGTTGGGTGATTCCAACCCCTGGCGTGGGTGAACAAGCAGTGGGGGATCCAAGGTGAAGTTAGCCACCTGCTCTGCACTTAGCTCCTCAGCTCTTGTGGGCCAGCTCTGCCCCACGTGCTCGGCTTGCTCCCGCTCCCCCCCCCCCCCACCCGCTGGAGCCGAGAGCGCAGCTTCAGCAGGCAGATACCCTCCGGTTACCCTCAAAGCCTGCGATAATCCTCGCTCTCCGAGTGATTCAAGGGACAATTTCCCAGGCGTTGGGAGGCGGGTCAGGAGCAGTTGCTTTCGTACGAAGTTACTGCTGCAAGGGAGTGGGGTTTCTAGAAATCGGATGCCTCCGCAGCTGCTGTAGTCGAACCCACCCCTGGCGTGGAGCATCGTGCTTCCCAACCCGCCTTTCTCCGAGCTTGGACACTTGCCACGCGCCAGAACAAGCTCCAGTGAGAAGCAGAGCCTCTTCCATCCCGGCTGCTCGGCTGGGACTTTCCCGCCCCGGCAGAATCCGTGGAATGCCTTTGAAGCAGCTCTCCGTCTGCTTCGCCTTGCCCCAGTGCAGTGCAAAGGGGATGGAAATGGTGCTGGAGATCGAGCCCAAAGGACCCACCAAGTCCTTCCAGAAATAACAAGTGTGGTTGACCATAGTTTAACTTGCGCTCAGTACTCAGTCCTTCGTAATTGTCAGTGTCCTTTAGAGACGAGCTGAGCTCTACAGACAGAGAAATGGGATGCCAGGGAAGAGAAATGCCTTGCCAGAGGTTATGCTTGGTGTGGGTTTTTATTGTTGTTGGTTTTTTTTCATTTTTTCTTTTTTTTTGCAGCTTCTGCCTTGTGTTAGTATGTCCTGAGGGTTTTTTCAGAGTTGTAGTTGGCACTGCTCGTGCAGTCAACAACGCTAGGAACTTTTGTCGACTGGAGTTAGTGTTTACAAAAAGAAATCCACAGGAAACTTTGGGGTTTTGATTGAAATTTTCACCTTAATAAAACCTTCCGGTGCTTTGCCCAGAAAACCTGCAGTGTGACTGTGCCGTTTGAGCAGATTGCACTTGTTGTTGTCGTTGTTCTTGCTGGCCAGAGGAAATCTTTTGGCTTCACAGGGCATCGTGAGAGTTCCTGACCCAGGTGCAGCAAGGGGCATCTAGGCTCTCTGTGGACCTTAGAAAGGAGTTGTGAAAATCGAGCCCTTTCTACCAGTTTTTCCTCCAACTCTGGAGCTTCCACTAAAGCAAATATATATATTTATTTTTCTTAGATTGCTGAGATTTAGAAGATATGTAAATAAAGATAGATTCTGGCCAGCTTGGCACAGTAGCTTATGGGCCCTCCCTTCAGTAGGGAGAGGAGGGGTGCGTGCCTGGCTGTGCTGTATAAAGGCATATATTTCTATATCAATCCTGTGTAGTAACTAACTTGATAAAACTGTAGTGGAAACAAGCTGTAGTTACGACTTGTAAAAACAGCAGTGTCATTCCAGCAGTGGAAGTATCCTGTTTTTCAGACATGGCTGATTAGAAATAGAAAACCTGGCCCTTTTATTTCATCAGCTTTAAGGGTGGAATAACAGTATAAAGGCAGGACTGCTAGTTGTTTTAGTGCTGATCGTTCCTGGCAGAATTACCTCTTATCAGCAATTCAAAACCACACGTTTGGGGTGGAAAACCTTTTGTGCTTACTCCATGAACTTCTGAAGAGTCGTTGTCTCTAAAGATAAAATTAGAAAGCTTGATAATCTAAAGGGTGGAGGAAAGCAAACAGAATTATTCTGGAGTTAAGTATCATAGGGCATTGCCAGTGACTTCACCTTTTAACAACTATTTTTGGTGTTTTTAAATATTTAAAAACTTACCTGCAGCTTCCACAGTTCTCTGCTTGCCAGCACTGAAATGTTCCAGGGATAAGGTAGTCTGTGGGTGGGGACTGGGCTCTGGTTCATCTTCAAAGCAATTTCTGCTGGGAAGCCTTGTTCTAATTCTAGGAGCTAGAAATGAAATGTGCTGCTGACGCGCAGGGAAGAAGCTGTGTTTGCCTCAACGTTCATTCTTCATGTTCACAGAAACCGTGCGGGGGGTCTGGGGGCTCGTTTTTTCCAAGTGACACTTTCAGGTAAGGTCCCTTTTAAAATGGAAGTCCTTTTCCCCGCTGCCTGAAAACTGGGAGGCAGGTGACACTGCGATTCAGCTGGTCAGGTGGGCTTAGAGCTGTCTGAAGTTCTTAAACGAAGGTTTTCTTTAAATCTGGATCCATTAAAACAGTGCAATGAACTGAATGCTGAATTCAAATGAGGCAGTTATTCTGGCAGTAAAACTTCTGACTAAGGCATAATTTTGTTATGTAAATTATAACTTTTCAACCTTAAATGGTAGCGTTGGCTGAGCCAGAGACTAACTGAAACACAGGAGGAAAGATAACCTTAAACGAGAAAACCGTAATAGGTGAGGCATAGCTCTCCCCATTGTCTTTCTCCATAGACCAGAAATAGCTGGGAGCAGCTGAACCAACTTTGCTGGCTAAACGTGTCCCCCGAGCATGCTGGGGTAACCAGTTTGGTCCTGTCTTCGTTCGTATAATACCTGGTCTCACCTTCGTTTGCAGCTTCTCTTCATGAAGGGTGTTGAACCGATTGTCCTGCTGGATTCCTGAAAGCTGCTTGAAGAAAGGCTTTTAAAAACACATTCAGCTCATCTTTCAAACGGCCTGGCATGAAAACTCATGAATGAAATCTGATCTTCTGCTCCTGGCTCAGGAGATTTCAACATGCAAAGCTGTGTATTTAATTGCATTCACCTCTTCTCCCCAGGGTACGGTGGCGGGCAGCCCTGGGAGCTTTTTCTCTCCCTAGTCTGAAAAGCACAGCTCCAAAATGCCCTCATGGGTGGGGAAGGGAGGGCTGCAGGCACCGTGCTCTGCGGCGGCTCGCTGCAGTGCTTCGGCTGCTGCTCTTCTGGGCTGGGCTCTGGCCTGAGCGCGCTGGTGGCCTGACCCCGCTTAGCTATCCAGTGCCACCGAGAGGAGGCAGACCCTATGGAAAATGAGGCTGAAGCAAGCTGCAGCAGCCTTGATTTCCCGTTCTCTTTTACTCATGTATTTCAGCACCCTGAAGTTCTATTTTTATCAGGTTATTTTAGGTTTTAGCAGCCCACTGAGAAGGCAAACAAAATAGCTCGGTTGCATTTTGCAGAGGAGACTGAATTGGGAGGTGACCCAATTCCAGCAAGAGCTGGAATTAGCAGGCAGAAGGCATGGGGAGAGAATTAACCCAGGGACTGGGTAGGTGTGGCTGCAGTAGCGGGAGCTCTCTTACCCCCACAGTCTGTAGGTGAAGTGCAGGTGGTTTTAGCACTGTCTGGTTGCACTAGCGAGGTGATCATCTTCCTATAAAATCAGGAGAGGAGAGAACACAATCACAGACTGGTTTGGGTTGGAAGGGACCTCAAAGACCATCTGGTTCCAACCCCCCTGCCATGGGCAGGGACACCTCCCACCAGACCAGGTTGCTCCCAGCCCCATCCAGCCTGGCCTTGAGCACTGCCAGGGAGGGGGCAACCACAGCTTCCCTGGGCAGCCTGTGCAGGGCCTCACCACCCTCACAGGGAAGAATTTCTTCCCAATATCTCACCTAAATCTCCCTCTTTCAGTTTGAAACCGTTACCCCTCATCCCATCACCACCCTCCCTGATCAACAGTCCCTCCCCACCTTTCCTGCAGCCCCCTTTCAGCACTAGAAGCTGCTGTAAGGTCTCCCCGGAGCCTTCTCTTCTCCAGGCTGAACACCCCCAACTCTCTCAGCCTGTCCTC